TTCACATAAACATATATCATATGTTGTTCACATATATTTCCCATATAACTCACATCATATGATTAATATATTATTCTTATATCATCATATATATCAGTTATGTTCATTCACTTAATCTCTTATGTTCATATATCACATATTCATATAATTCATTATGCCAATATCATATAACTTATGTAAACATATATATCACTTATATCGATTCATATGTCTTACCACACTAGCATATATTCATACAAATCATGTCACACATACAATAACATATAACTCATACACTCATAACAAACACATGCTCATGTTCATGAATTCATGCATAATATTATAGGAAATAGACTTGTCGCAAGTCTTATTTCCATTAAACATCATATACTATCTAATATGCACTCACCTGACCTCACTAGTCAATTCGAGCACTTATAACTCTTTATCTTTCCCTCGATCGATCTTATTTGTCAATTGTTTCGGGAACTCGTTTAGGCTTAGTACATAAATATAATTCCCAAGACGATTATCAGAAGCCTAACATTATAATTCGACGCTAACAACTTAAAATAATTAATGAGCAAAATTCATATTTTCCCTTCAGAAGGGTATCAATACACTACTGCGGAATCGATACCCAAATTAAATTCGATATTCACAGGTATTGTTACCCTGCTTGTGGGTATCCTTACCTGCTTGTGGGTATCGATACCCAGGTATTGGTACTACCCCTCTAAGTATTGATACCTCATGAAGATGTTCATCTAAAATGGTCTTAGGGTATCGATACCTACATGTAGGTAACAATACCTGTGAATATTGAATTTAATTTGGGTACCGATACCCCAGTAGTGTATCGATACCCTTCTGAAGGGAAAATATGAATTTTGCTCATTAATTGGCTTAAGTTGTTAGCATCGAATTATAATGTTAGGCTTCTTATAATCGTCTTGGGAATTATATTTATGTAGATACTGAGCCTAAACGAGTTCCCAAAAAAATTGGTAAGTAAAATCGATCGAGGGAAAGATAAAGAGTTATAAGTGCTCAAATTGACTAGTGAGGCCAGATGAGTGCATATTAGATAGTATATGATGTTTACTGGAAATAAGACTTGCGACAAGTCTATTTCCTATAGTATTATGCATGAATTCATGAACATGACATGTTTGTTATGAGTGTATGAGTTATATGTTATTGTATGTGTGACATGATTTGTATGAATATATGCTAGTGTGGTAAGACATATGAATCGATATAAGTGATATATATGTTTACATAAGTTATATGATATTGGCATAATGAATTATATGAATATGTGATATATGAACATAAGAGATTAAGTGAATGAACATAGATGATATATATGATGATATAAGAATAAGATATGAATAATATGATGTGAGTTATATGGGAAATATATGTGAACAATATATGATATATGTTTATGTGAAACCATACAAAGTGATGTGAACTATATAACATATGAATATGAAATCATATGAGAAGTGACATGAATTACATGAAAATAGACTACTTGATTACATGTATATGTGAATATGTGACAAGTAGAAGATAATGCCCATTTTATGTGTCATGAGAGCTAGAGGTATAATTGGCATGCCAAGAGTCGAGGGTTAGCTATGTCATTCGAGACATCTAGACAGTTTACCTATGTCTTTTGAGACATATGGATAGTGGTCTTTCGGGACATAGTGGACCTTCGGGATATTTCTACGCGGTCCTTTGGGAAAAATTCATATGCCTCTAGTGGGACCTCATACGAGCTGTGGTGATATCATATGTGCACAACCTTTATGTACTCACATATCTATAGTTCTCACATGTGTACATAGGCTAACAAAGTGAAAACAATAAACATATTACATGTGATGTATACGCTTTTGTGATATGAATTGTATTATATGATAATGTGTGTATTGTTTGGTTAAATGAGTCATATGTCGATTAAAAAGGTTAGGTACAAGAGGATACGATTAAAAGATATAAATGATAATAATATTGATAGTGGAATAAGGTTAGCGATGGAAATAATGTGTAATGTGTATATGTGTGCATTACATTATATATAATGTTATATTGTTTTGTGTGACATTACGAGATGATATGTTTGTACATGATTAAGTAGTTAGAATTTCCTTTATAAGTTTAATGCCTCACTAAGTCATCGACTTAGCGTGTGAATGTTTCACACGTAGGTTTTGACAAGCTTATGGATCGAAGAAGAGCAAGACATATCAGTTTCTCCTTACCGAAGGTCAGATCAGAAGATAAATGAATAACATGTATTTTGTTATATAGAATCTAGTTTGCATGTAGTTAAAAGATTTGTATTGGGTACGCTCTGATAAGTTTTGTAAAACCATATGTTTTATATCATAGAATTTATTTGGTTTTATTAGAAATGTCAAACTGAATCTTTGGTATTTTGTAAAAGCAAATGATATGAAAAGTCAATGTGACACCTCAGACTCGTATCCGGGTCGGGTACGGGTTGGGGGTGTTACAGTTTATGATAGCATAAAGATAGATTTAAAGCTTGGGAAACATGTTAATGGTAGATTATATATTTTGAAGTTATAAGCATGTTTAAAGCCTCTTTTATGATCATACTTGAATACATAAGACACTAAGAACAATTGGGAACCTCAAGGTAGTAATGTGAGTGAGTTCAAGTGCCCAAATAAGGCATTTTTGAGTGTAGGTATTGATACTGGAGGGATCAATACCAATATTGTTCATGTTCAGGCTTCAAAACTATGAAATTTATGAGGGGCAGTATCGATACCCCTTGGTGGAGTATCGATATTGAGGGTCTGGTATCGAAACTGGTGCACTTGGTATTGAAACCCAAATTTCATAATGTAATTTTGGTATCAGTACTCAAGGGAGTACTGATACTCCCCATTGGAGTATCGGTACTTTCCATTTTAAAATGAAATATGTGCTTTAGTGCTAGAGTATCGATACCTAGGTAAGGGTATCGATGCCCAACAGGTAGTATCGATACTGTATGTCCAGTATAGATACCAAGAAGTTATTTTGGGATAGAAATTTAGAGAAATTTAAAAGGCTAGTGAGGTTCCCAATAACTTTAATTACTCTCAAATAAGACTACAAGTAAAACAATAATAATGATTGATTTGAATGTAGAAACAAGATAAATTAGGGACAAATAAAACTAGCCTTGTTTGATACTTGGGAAGCAATTCAGGCACCCGAGTTCTTTTAGTTCAGGGTGTCGAAGTATAGAATCAGTCTGGATATCCTTAGGTAGGCTGCAAGGCCTTTAAAACTAACTAGCTAGGGCACAAGGTTCGACACTCGTAAGAGGTGGGCTAGTCGGGGGTGTGTTGTCTAATATAGAGATTCTGAACGCCACATCCTTGGTAAAATAGAGGGGTGCGTAAGCTTCGAGATGCAAAAATCCCTCAGCTGCATCATGATGTCTACAATAGTGTAAAGAGTAAGTATCGCAAGGATAATCACTATTGTTTTAATTGGTTAGATTTACTGTATTTTTATCAGTTGTTAAAGCATGTTACTAATGAACCCTTGTTAGTATGATTTAGTTGTTAGTGTGGCATTGGGCTAGTTAGCTCAACCTTTGGAATTTGTTTCCGTACGCGGATTCTTAGGTGGAGCACTTGAAGAACCTTTTGCAGTATAAATCCAGGCTGGAACCAAAGCAGAGTACGACTCGAGTCTTTTAGAGGACATGTATATTCGGTTTCCCTATTTTTTTATACTCGAGTCATTATTTGTATTGAGAGATGGTCTGCATATTTTATATAATTATTTATAGGAGCTCCTGAATTTAAGTTGTTTTGTGTAAAAGATGTTATTTATTTTATCGTGAATGTTTGTCAGTAAATGTTTTTAATTGAGTTTGTTTAAGAAAAATTTTGGTTAGCCATTTCGGTGGTTTCGTGTGGCATTCTCATTGGTCAAATGTGTGTCGTACTAGTGTAGGGTGTTACATGGTCACCCACTGGTTAAAATTAACGGTGACACTGATGTGTCATCATAAAATAATGCCACATAATTATTGATTTTAAAAATATATATATATCATATTAGTTGTTCTATTAACTTTTTAACGACAAGTGACCAAAATAAAACCATAATGCTTGATAATTAAAACATAATAAAAGTAATAGTTGAGGTACTAAACTTGCAGTTTACCCAAAATACTATCTCCTAATTAATATATTTTCATGCAAATTTCTTTATCATGCAATGAGAGAAATTGCCTTGCACATGAAGATTTTTAAGAATAATTCTTAAAAGATAATTTATATATGAATAGACATAAATAAAATGAATAAGTAATAAGTTAAGACTTCATGGTTAACACTTGTCTATTTTGAGCAAAACATTGATCCACACCTACTTGTGAGATCTTTTCTCTTCTTTCCTGTGAAGGAAAAGGTAAAAAAAAATACCACCTTCACGCTCAAAGTTTGTAATCATCCAAAAATCTCACGCATGATTCCCCAAACCAAATATGTTACCACATCAAACATAAACGAAATATCTTTGCTAGGATCTACAAGACGGATGTGCGTTATAGGGGAAGGAGCAATTATCCCTCTTAACTTTGATAGTCTAATTATATTTTAAGTCATTCATAATTTTAATATCATTACAATTAAGTCCTTATCCCTCCCAAATTCTTTGGTATACTTATATTTTAGAATATTTTCAGTTTTAAAATTAATGGAATTAAGTTTTTATCTCAAATTTATAAATTTAATTATGACCTTTAAAATTTAAATACAGTGAAATTAAATCCTTTACCTCTTACTTTTTTTGATATAATTATTTCTTTAGGATATTATTTATTTTAAACTTAAACAATTTGCCCCCTCATTATTTAATCTTGGTTCCGTGCGTGAGTATATATAAGGTTACTGAGGTAGCATGAAAACAGAAATATAAGGTTACTGAGGTAGCATGAAAACAGAAATATAATAGTCCCTAGCCATTACTTTGTCATGCGGGAGGGGACTGAAAATACCGAGTCCCTTTCACCACGCCATTATGTTTTCCTAAAGGTTCATCATACGGAACTCCGATCCAAAAGCCTGGCGCTTATGCTTCCATCCCACTTAAGTTTTTCATTCATTTAAATCCTTAAATTAGCTTTAATTAAGGGAACCAAATGGAGAAAGGAAGTAAGAGAGAGAGAGAGGGTTCCAGCCAGAGAGAGCGCGTCTTCTCCGGACGCCGAGCTTGAGTGCACAACGTTCGTAGACAATGTGAGCAAACGAGTGTCGAGAGGATCCCTGTGGGAGGTCTTCAATCATCACGAGAAAATAACCGGGATTTTCATCCCTTTTGCTAATAGGAAACCAAAATATAAACTGTCCACTTTCCCCTTTGTTAGGTTTGCATCTCATGAAGACTTGGAACGTGCAATCACCAGGATGAACAATACAAAAATAGATGGGAGAGTGGTTCTTGTTTCTAAGGCTAAGTTTCCATGCAAACACCGTGAAGGAAATGCTAGCGAGCAGCGAAAGGAGGAGGAGGAGCTGGGAAGGAGGAAAACATTGAATAGGGTGAACAAATCTCCTGATGGCAGCTATCTTTGGATAAGAGATGTCAGAACCTACAGAGAAGTTGTGAGCAGAGGAAGGAATTCGAATGTGGACTAGGAGATAGACGGGAATGCTAAACATCAGAACGGTATCAAGACGGTTTCCCAGAAGAAGCTTGAAGAGCTCCACATCCCGATCAAGGACTGCTAGTGGATAGATCGATCAATAGTTGGGATATGTAGGGGAGTTTGATCTAGAGTTTGTCCAGAGAGCATTGGAATAAATATGGGAAAATAAGAAAGATGTCCTGAATCTTTGGTTTGAGGTCCTCGCCCCACTTATGGAGGAAGAAGCAATTCCTATAGCTTTCTTCAATTGTTCCATGGTAGGTATACCAATGCATTTGTGGCATGAAGAGTTCTTCTCAATTCTTGGGAACCACTGGGGTAGATACATTACCATAACGAATAAAACAAAAGACATGAGGGATTTAATAATCGCGAGAGTGATAATAAGGGCTGCTAGCCTTTTTGATATTCCAAAATCAATTAAGGTTCAATCGAGTGGCTACAACTTTGTCATCAAAATCGGCCTTGAGATGTGTCGTGGGTGTAATACCCAAAAATCCGACTAAGGATTAAAAATGTAATTTTTGAAAGTTTGGTGACTAAAATAAAAATTTGGAAAAGTTTAAGCACCAAAGTGGTCATTTTCCCAAAAATAAATTTTATTTCACAAATAAATAGTTTCTCTTTAAAAATGAATTCTCTATGAAATTCATATTTTGATCCGAAATTTGTATGAAAAGTTATAAAGCAATAAAGTTTGGTAAAATATTCATATAATTAAATTAAATCAAATGAAAGTTTACAAAAATTTGAAGGATGACAGAATAATGTTAGAAATATTATTTCTATATTTTAGAATGACAAAATTTGACATGGATCCTTGGAATTTAGATGAATTTTCCATGATAAGTTGAAATTATAAATTTTAGTGACTAAATTGTAATTGTAAAAAATTACAAAGAGAAAATGTGAAAAGTGAATTATATTTGTTCATATTTGACTTTTTGATTATTAAAATGAAAGATATTATTGTGGAAAATGAAAATTATCATGATTTTTTAAAGGATAAAGTTGTAATTATGTATTAAATGAATTTTATATTCATTTAATTAATATGTTAACAAGTGTACATAGATATTTTTGTAGAAAAATCAAGAAAACTCCTTGTCCCTATAAATTTCGTGCACCATAGATAAAAGAAGAAGAAAGGTATGTTTTCTTCCTTTTTCTTCATTTTAGTCCTTTTTTCCTTTGATTTTTGGATTAAGTTATGAAATAGAAAAATAATCTATATTAAAGTCTCTATCAATTGATATGAATATTATATGGTTTTCATGCTTGAATCAATCGTTTGATTGTTAGAATGAATGATGAATAAGTAGGATTTTAATGATTTAAGGATGGATTTTTATGTTGTTATTGTTGTAGAGTTGTTTCAAGCTTGCATGATGATTAAAATCAATTGAAAATGCATAGATAAATATTTGGTCATTACCTAGGGTTTATGAAAGATTGATTTTGGATTGAATTGATAAGAAATTAATTTGAATTTCTTGGAAATGATGTTGATAAGTTGAAATCATACTTAAATCAAGTTGGAAATTAATGAATCCACAACCTATAGTATTCGGCCACGACGAAAGAAATTAGGAAAATTTATAAAAAAAAAATTCTATAAGTTATAACTGATATTAGAATAATTCTACATGTTTTGGAATGTGATATGGGTTTAGAAAATTGTGAAAATATAGGGAATTAATTTTATGAAATGAGAAATATGGAGATTATTGTGAAATTGTTTAATAATTGATGTATTATGTTGAATTTAAATGTTGAAATGATAAATTTGACATTAGGATTTTGATTGGGATTAAATTGGAAATTTATAAAATTTATAGGACTAAATCACATACTTTGTGAAATATGAAGATTAAAATGTAATTGCTTAATAATTGAAGTACTATTTTGGAATTTAGATGTTAGAATGTTTAATTCAATGTTAAAATGTGAAATTGGACTAATTTGGAAATTTGATAAAGTTTGAGGACTAAATTGTATATTATGGAAAAGTAGAGACTTAAGTGAAAATTTGGTAATTATTGAGGTATTAGATTTTAATTAAATGTTGGAAATTTTGATTATGTTAAGTGAAGCTTGAATTAAAGTTAAATTGTATTTTTTTAAAGGTTGATGACTAAATTATAAGTTGTGGGTTTGAAACGAAAATTTAGTATAAGTTAGCGAGTGAAAATTTAACATGTTGTTGAAGTGTTCGAATTTGTTTTGTGATGATTGAATTTAGGATTAGATAGCAAAAAAGATTATATTGAATAAAATAGAAAAGTTGAGATGATTTTTTTAAAGAATTTATCCTATGATTAAAGTTATGGTATAATGGATTTAGAATTGAATTTGGAAAGTTGTAATGGTATAAGAGTTAAATCGCAAAATGGAAAGAGATTGAAGACATGACAATTGTATAATTGTTAAAAAAAAAATATTTAAATAATATATTGGAATCGAATATTAAAATATTGATTTAATATTGAAATGTTGATTTTGGACAAGTTTGTAAGTTTGTTAAAGTTTAGGAACCAAAATATAAAATGCTTAAATGGTAAGCTTAAAGGTTACAGAATAAATATGAATAATTAAAGTACTTGAGTAGTAAATAATAGAATGGTGACTATAATATTAAAGTATTATTTGAGATTGATTTGTAAATATGTGTAAGTAAAATGATCAAATTGAAAAGGTGGAGAAATTATGGGATTAAAATAAAATTTTAGTATAAGATGATATGAGAGGTTTAAGTGAATAGTAATAATAAATGTTTATTAGAGGAATTTGAAAGGCAAATTGAATTATGGTTACTTTGTACCAGACCTTTTTACATTACTTGATAAATTGAAGAATTAATACGTAAAGGTTGAAAAATTTTGTATGATGAAAATTATAATTAAGAGATGACATATTGATTTAGATCAATATTGAAAGTCGTATAAGATAGAGGTATAGTTCGTGAGTTTTAAAAAAGTTATGGTAAAATGATAATTATATATAAGTTAATGTATTAGATTGAAAATAATGTGAAAATAATTTATATGGATTCAAACTGAATATTGAGGAACTGATATAGATATTTTGAAATATTGAAATTATAATTGAAAGAAAATTCTATTGGTGGCTAGATGTGAAATGTTGGAAGGTTAGGTGAATTGTTGTGAGAAATAAATTATTTAAGGGAGTAAGAAGGCTAATTTGATAGAGTTAAAGTTAGTTTTTGATTTGGTAAAAGAAATTAGTATTGAATATACATTAATGATATTTTCATAATATTTATACGGTTATGAATTTATTATATTAATTAAAGTATGAACACATGATTAAAATAGTAAACAAATTTACTAATCTTTCTATAAATATTTTTGTAGGAAGAAGGATATAAGATTTCAAATAAAAGCCTAGTGTATAAGATTTGATAGATAATGGTACGCAAGGTGGAGTGTTATTGATTGAACATACAGAGGTACATTTTTGTACAACATAATTACCAGATACATTTATGTTTTCGGGATCATAGGTACAATGTTGTGTTCTATAGTACCTATACATTCACACTACACCTACGGTGCTATCATAGACACTAAATGTGCCATACAACTACAGACCACAGGCAACTATGCTGCATATAGTATAGTACAGTGTACATGTAGTACAATCACAAGGTATTAAATGTGCCATACAATCACATATTACATGTAGCTCTGTTGCACACAGGGCACAAATGTGCCCCACAGTTACAAGCAGTTTATATTGCACATAGCATAGAACACTCAAGCATAGACTCACGTGCCCTGTATTCTCATGATTATACATTGGGCCATAAAACAAAAGTAAATATATAAACAAAAAAAATACAATACAGAAAGAGAAATAGTATAATAAAATAAATTATACAGTAAAAGAATCATCACATAAAAGGAACAGTACGGTGAAATGAACGATACAGGAAAATGAGTAAGTAAAGGAAAAGAAACGATACAAGTTTAATTATTATATTTTACAATAAAATTTTATAAAAATAGAGTAAATTATATCGAATGTTTATAGACAAGGAGTTATATTGGTTTGAATTAACATATGAATGATATGTATATCTATATAATGATTATAATATAATAAAAATTGTTGTAAAATAAATATAATGATGTATATCTATATATGATTGTGTGGTGGTAGACAACAATTAAAAAAATATATGTTTTAAAATAAGTATGATTATATATGTTATATATATTTTATATATAGTGTTATAAAAAGGAAAGTACATAAATCGTGCTCAAATGAGAAATAATAAATAATGAGAAATGTAATAATGAAAGGTGAAAATGTGATAAGATACTAAGTGGTTGTGAATGAGTGTAGTAAAATTTTATGTTATAAAGATAAATCGGTTAAATTTTAAATTAGGTAGTTTTGAATTATGATATGTAATAGTATTTTAAACTGCCTAGATATTGAGTGAGATCGGGTGTAAGTTGAAAATTAAAATATTACATCATGATTTTACGCGGTTAAATAGTCTGATAATAAATGTTAAATTAATAGATTTTAAAAGAAACAAAATTTTTCCCTCTTTCAAATAGTATATGTTAAATAGAAACATGCGACATCCTTAATTTGTATTCGGAAATAAATGCAGGTTAAGGGTGTTACATTTAATGATATGTTTAATATAAGCTCAATTCCTAAGATGGGCTACTAAATAACTTGGTAGGCTTGGAGCCCCAGATTAATTCCCAGATGGGCAGACCAGGCAAATCATAATGATTTGGAGAATAAGTGGTCGAGGACACATTAGACTGTGTATCTGAGTCAAACAACCCAAGTCTCTCAGTGGAAGTGGTCTTAGATAGTCTCGATAGGTTTGAAGGTGAGAATAAATAAATGGGTGATAGATGCATGGAGAACAGCCGATAGATTGAAGGGTGTAACGACGAGGAAGAAAGCATGACAAGTATTCGTGTTGTCAGATAGAGCTTGAAT